AAAAAAAAAAAAAAAAAAAAAAAAAAAAAAAGAGAGAGAGAAGAGAAACTAAACATTAAAATCTCTCATGTAATTGGACAGTAAAAAATTTTAGGCTTTGGTTAACAGATACTAAATTTAATGGAAAATCTTAAATCAACATCTTCCTTATTATTCCTGAGTTTGCTAAAATACCATAGAAAATAAAGAACTCAATCTATATCTTTGCATGACATTGCATTTTATTTTCAAAAACAAAAAAGAACTGTGATTATTTTAAATATGAATAATGATGTTTAATAATATAATCACTATAGGAATATATTTAATGTAGCTTAACTAAGGTAAAAGTTAATGCCCTCTGACCACTATTTGCGATTATTTGTAAATTATGATCACAGATACATTAAACCTGTCACAGATTTTTATTTGCACCTTATAAAATCATATTGACTTTTTAGAACAGGCTGCTTTGGTAAAAGAAATAAAATGGTGCCAGGGATTTAGGTCAGTGGTGCTGTGCCTGCCTCTGAAGAGCAAAGTCCTGAGTTCTATCCCTGTACTGAGGAAAAATAAAAAATATAAAAAAAAAAAAAGAAATGAAATGGTGCAGTGCTAATGGTTAGCACAGAGCTAGGTACAGTGTGGGTGCTCAATATTACTAATTAAAGTGAAGAATTTTCTAATGCATTATTTTTGTATATTAACATGCAATTCAATGTAGTAGATAACCTGAAAATATCCAAAAACATTGGAGACATGAAAATGTAGTTTTAGGGGCCAGGGATTTAACTCAGTGACCCCCAAGCCTGCCTCACAAGTGCAAGGTCTTGAGTTCAATCCTTGGTTCCGCCAAAAAAAAAAAAAGGTATTTTTAGTAACAATCAAACAAATAATTTTTACAAGTGGCTATTTTTGGTCTTAGTTTTATCAAAATAGAATTACATTTCAAATTTTAAAATAGACCCTTTAAAAATAGGCTTATGGGGCTGGCATGCAGCTTAGTGGTAGAACACTTGCCTAGCCTGTGTGAGGCTCTGAGTTTGATTTCCTGTACTGGAAAAATAAATAAATAAAATAGGCTCATGGAAGCTATTTTCCTATTAGTGGCTATATGTTTTGTGGATGACAGGTTCAGCACCTTCACACATGATCAACCTATCAACACCCTTTGAACTGATTATACCATAGCCCTTGAAAGAGTTTCACCTAAAGATTGAATCTGTGCATCTGAGGACTGGGTCCAAGAATGTGGATTTTTTTTTTTTGTGGTACCAGGGATTGAACTCAGGACCTTGTGCTTACGAGGTTGGCGCAGTGCCACTGAGCTAAATCCCCAGCCCATGAATGTGGATTTTTGAATAAATAGTTCTACCCTGCCTCCTGGAAAAGTACTATGATCAGGTGGATTTGAGAAATAATGCTTTGAAAGCAACCAAAATAATTCTATTATATTTACATTATTTGATAAATGTAGCAAGCTTTTCAATAATCTGCATAGCTTATCATCATGCTTATTTCAAAGTCACAAAGTTTTGTTCTGAATCTCTTGGTAGCCCAGGAGATGGCTGATCAAACAGTAATCACCTTTTAAAAAACTGCTGGTAGTTAGGCTTCTATAGTTTTACTATTGCATATACCTTCTCTTACCAGAAGCAGAAGAGACATCTAACAGTTGTACTTAAAGAAAATATTGTGCAATTTATTCAAATGGTCATACTACTTATGGGGAAGTCTTACAATGCTATGCCAACATAATTTATTAGACTTATTTGCAAAGCTAGTTATCAAATGCCTATTTTTTTGTTGTTGTTGTTGTTTTAGTTTTGTTGCCCAGGCGATCCTCAAACTCCTGAGCTTAAGCGATCTTCCTGCCTCAGCCTTTCGATTGGCTAGGACTATACCCATGTACCACTTATTTCTTTAAAAAGTAGTATGTCAATTCATGTACAAAGCCTCATTAGCCATTTAATGCAACTAGGAGGCAATTATTTAACTAGATATGTATACATGAAAAAATGGGTTCATTTTAACCAAACAAACAGTAAAAAATCCCTCTAAATTAAAAAGATAAAATAAGCAGTGAAATGTATTCTCACACAAATATCATGGAGCACTGAGGAAAGTTGGAAAATTTAAATTATTAGAGATTTGAAAGTACATTCAATTAGGATTAAAATAATGAACTGGTAGTCACTTTATTTTCTAATAAGAGTATTATAAGCAAAGGAAAACTGCGAGCTTACTGAAGTGGGCTAAATAGTTTTTAAGCAGACTGAAACTATTTAATTGAACTATTTTGATAGTTGCAGTATCCAATGAATTATTAAAATGATGCAGTATTCAATGTTGTTAAAAATAACATTTAACAATTTTAGCATTAGTAGAAATCACTGCAAATACACAAAAGCAGATTATCAAACTTTATACACAAGAGTTGGAAAGGGCTTAATACCAAGTCCTTGGTTCCACATTGCACTTCATATTCCCATCTGTATATCAGCAAAGTTGTAGAAGCTGTCTACATCTCCAGATGCTGTCTCCTTGCTTTCTGATACAAACATCTATTTTAAATGGAAAATAAATAGAAAATAAGTACTGTGACCCCAAAGTGCCAAAGGCCACGTCACCACAGAATACAGTCACAAGCTTATTTAAAAGAAATTAAGGTACATCATTTATTTAATTCATAGATTTTCCATAGAATCGGCGCAATATGGCTTCAGTAGGTGTAATGTAAATTAAACCCTTTTAAAAATCACTTGTGAGTAATCTTATTAGAATCTTATGCATTGTTGCAGAATATTCACACCAGGGAAACTATTTGGTATTTACACATGTGGGGAAGGTGTGATACGTAGGGGAAGAACAAAAAGGGAAAAGAAAAAAAATGTGAGAGAATGAAAAGATGAAAATAAAGTGTTTGTAGATGGGGAGGGGAGGAGGGGGTGAAGGGAGGGCAGAGGTAAGGGGAAAAAA